GGTGGCCGAGCTGAGGGACCCGGACCGAAACCCCGATCCCGGCCCTAATCCCGATCCCGACCCCGATCCCGGTGGTGGCCCCGCCGTGGGGCGCACGGCAGGTGAGCTCGGAGCGCTGCGGGGCCCCAGTGCCTTCGCGGACAGGAGCCCTGCCTGGGGCACCGGGGTCTTACGGGGCACCGGGGTCGCGCCGTCACAGCGAAGGGGCCCAGGCCAGAGGGAAGTGCCGGGATCGGGGCTGCGCGTTGTCGGTATCTGGCCGGTTCCTGGGCCGCTCGGGTGGCCAGGGTGAGACCCCTGAGGGGGCCAGGGCCGCGCCGTCCCCCGGGGATTTGCCCCGGAGCCGCCCGGTGTCGCGGTAGTCGTGTCGTGCCTCAATTTCCCCTCTCCCGGCCAGGGCGGGGGCTGCCGCCGCCCGCCACCCCCCCGGGACGGGCTGGGTGTTTGTGTTCCCGGCGGTGCCGGGGGGGACGAGGAGGCTCGGCGGGGTACGGGTGGGGGTCCCCCAGCTCCCCCGGGCAGTGCTGGTGCCCCGAGGCGGCCCCACTCCTCCCTCGCCCCGCCTTGCACAACCCCGGCGTTTCCCCGGGCCCACGCATTTGCCTCCCGACTACCCTTGGTTTGCGATGCCCCCCGGGCAGGGCAGGTTCGTGGGCCCCCTCCGGGGGAGCCATGGCCTCAAGGACCCTCCTGTCCGTGCTGTTTTCCTTTCCCTTTGACTTTTTCCTTCTGGTCCAAGCGTTTGTGTTAGCATCGGATGCTGATCCAGAGGCTGGAATAGCTGGAGCAGGGATGGCAGCATCCTCATCTTTTGGGAGGGAGGTACAGCTTGTCTCCCCCTTTCTCCTCTCTCAATTCCATGCTAAGACCCTCACAGAGGGCAGAGAGAAAAATATAGAAAACATGCTGTCTGTCACTGCTGCTTTTAGGTGAGACTAGCTCCAGGTGGGACTCACAGGGATGTGCATCCTCTCAGAGATCTTGCTATCCTGTTCCTGTGTCCCTGGCACACAGGTTGCCCCCTGTATCAAGAAGTCAAATGCAGTCTTTTCCCTTGAGCTGGTTATTCCCATCACTTGGGTGGGTTATTCCCAACACTTGGGGAAATGGGAGCTGTTGTGCTGCCACAAGCTATTTTGGAATGCACATTTCATGGAGAGCGCTGTCAGCTGAAGCGTTCCAGAGACTGGACTTTGTGCACTGGGATGAATTCTGGAGACAGGAAGGCTCCAACCAGGCACGTCCTTGAGAGCTGTCTCTGGTGAGGTGAAGTAAGCAAGAAGAAAACAGGGGAGGCTTTCTGCTGCCTTTGGCATCATTCCTGATTCCTTTCAGCCCGACCTACGCCAGGCAGACCTATTTAGCACAGGGCTGTGGGTTGTTGCTTGCCACCACCTGGTACAAAACTCTGGTGGGTGGAGGAAACCAAGCTATCTACTCTTGTGGCATTGCAGATTTTGTTTTAAAGCAGCAGTTCTTACACTTTGGGTGGCGCTTAGCTGGTGTAGCTTTGTGGTGCCGCTATCTGGTACTGGCTTGGTTGTTGCTGGCTGAAGCACACCAAGTTGGACAGGAGTAGCATGGAAGCAGGAAAAAGGCTACAAGGAGAGGGGTGGCTGTGCCTTGTTCTGCTTTGGAGTGCTGTGACAAGCAGCCATGATGCTGCTGAGCTTTGCAGGGAGAACTGGAGCAGGCATGATGAGCCAGATGTTTTTGCAGCAGAAGACGGGATCTTGCATAAATCCCCCCCCACCCCGATGCTGCCAGGAGAGCACCACGACCATGCCTGGCTGTGTGTCCTGCCTGCATTGAAGCTTGGGCCCACCCCAAGGAGCTCTGCAGCTGTGTGTGGTTACCTGTGTTTGTAAACCTGGCAGACCCAGGGAAATGCTTTATTTTCTTTGTGAGCACCCTCATCAGAAGCAGGTTGTTTCATGAAGCCTCTTCGGGAGGTGGGTTTTTGAGGGAAGAATTTCCCTTTGAGATCTGAGTCTTGCAATGCCTGCTTTCCTCTTCTTTTCTTACTCCCAGCCCAGTGGACTGCACTGCCCAAAATGTCTCAATATTGTTGCCTCCTAAAGCCAACTCTACTTTTGCTTTCCTGCGAATGAGACCAGTCCAGCAGTCCAGGAATGGTTTTCCCTTGTCTGGGAAGCTGCTGGAGACATGTAGAAGAAAACCAGTCTGAGAGCTAGTGTTTTCCAGTAAAATGATCAAAGAAACAAAAAAAAATTCATCCCATGATGTCTATCTAAGTGGCTTTTGCTTTCCCTCTGAGGAGGCATGCCAGGGACCCAGCAGCCCCAATCATGGGAAAATTATGCTGGCAGCCTGCAGGGATTTGCTTTCACCTCCTATGATCCTGGTGCGGAGGAGGCTTCCTGTGAATATTGTGCACTGGTGTAAGGAAAACCCCCTTCTCCTTAGGGCTGGATGGGAATTGAAGAGCTGCCAAGCCTGCAGCTCTGGGAGGCTGCTCCCCACCCTGGGGTACTGCCCAAAGCAAACCCCCAGCAGTGCCAGCACCCTCCTGCACAGGCTTCACATCCTAAGCCTTGGTATATCTTCAGTGTTCAGTAATTTTGAAGTAGGGATCTCATCCTTCTGCATGGCTGGTACACTGATGGCTGGGTCAGTGGTGCATGTTGTTCTGGGTGACAACAGTGACAGCTCCAGCTCACCCCCAAGACACAACACAGCTATTTAAACACCACTCTGCTTTCATCTTTGCCCGCGAGTCTCCCCTGCCCCCTCACACTCTCATTCTCTACTTTTGCTGAGTCGCCATAATAACTTGCTACCTAAAGGTCTTGGTGTCCCGCATGGAACCAGCAACACCCATGGGTGCCCATCTGGCAATCTCTGACAGCAGCTGGGCATGGAGCCAGTGAGCTGCAGCCATGGTCCGAGCCTGGCCCTCAGGCCCAGCTGAAATGCTGTCAGATCACCTTCAGAGGTGTTGACTGGCAAAGAGGGAAGTGTTTTCTGGTGGTTTGATGGCTTCTGCTGGAGTTTGTGGTAGTCATGTTTCCTTTGTGTATCTAGCCACCATTAGGTGCTGGTGTATGGTCCCCCTTTCTCCTTCCCTCGTGTTTTTGTTGAAATTCGATTTTCCACTGTAAATCTCACCTGTCAGAACTCTTAAGGGAAAAAAAAACACAACAAACCAAGACTGGGATCAGTGACTTGGTCTCTGGTCCCTAGGGTGACCTCTCTGTTCCAGCAGCTCCTTGCAGAAATTGGACTGTGCCTCCACTCCAGGAAAATCCACCCTGTCCCCAGTGATGGCCTGCAATGCTGTGAAAACCCCTCCCTCTTGCTGGCTATTGTTTGCTGGTGAATTTGTGGCTGGTCTGTGCTTCGGTCAGCTGGAGATAGTCCAGTTCCTCTCTGCAGCTGTTTTTTGAAAACAGCTCCTGTGGTCTCTTTGCTACAGTCTCCCTGGTAGGGTGCAGACCTTGAGTAGAAAAGATCTTGATAGAATCTTGAGAATAGGGAATATCAGAGGGAATATCTGTGGCTCCATCCATCTGGGAGAATATGGGATCACTGTGAGTGAACTCTGCTATTTGGCAGGGTGTTCAGTGCACAGGACTCTGAGGGATTCCTGCACAGGGGACAGGTACATCCCATATGCTATGGGATAAGGCAAAAAACCTCCAGGTTTGGAGTCTGGCATTAAGAGAATGAGGTCTGGTATTTCAGGCTGCTTCCAAGCCACACGGGAAGATGGTACAACAGGAGAGGACAGCTGTTCCCTCTTCTTCTTCTTCTCCCTACCTTCCCTGACACATACCTGGGCTCATCCCAGTGCAGTATGCAGATGCCCCACAAGATGGTCACTGCAGGGTGGGTTTGGTACCCAGCTCCTCCCAGAGCCCTAGGTCTGGAGCAGCATGTGATGACTGGACAGCAGTGATAAGCAGGCTCAGGTCCCCAGGCAGCCTGTGACACCATCCCAATCCTCTGCTAGGCTGGCCAGGCAGGTAGCTTGGCCACAGGTGATGGCATTTCCCAGCCACGAGAGTCCCACTGGGCTATGTGCTGAGCTCATCCACCCTGGCCTTGATCACTTGCAGGGATGGGGCATCCACAGCAGCTCTGGGCAGCCTGTTCTGGTGCCTCACCCCCTCGCAGTAAAGAATCTCTCCCTAATACCTAATCCAAGCCTGCCCTTTGTTTAAGACTGGCTGTGACAATGCTGACATCGCTGGGACGCACAGCTCAGAAATGGCCCTGGTTCTTCCACAGCTTCCTGTCAGTTGCTCTGGGCTCCAGGAATAGCCTGTCCTCAGCTCACCCCACACCAGCACAGTTGAGCACTTCCAGTTGCTTGGGACAAGGTCCCTGGCTCCCCATAAAGGGGCCAGAGACAGTGGGGGGTTAGGCAGCACCCACGGAGCAGGAGGATGATGAGACGCACCAGTGCACCTCCCAGAAGCAGAGTGCTGCTGAGGGCAGGCCCAATTCCCTGTCACTGAGGCAGGTGTTAATTGCCGTTCCAGTTGTGGATGCTGCCAGGTGGCAGTTGTCATCTGGAAAGTCCCTGATGCTCCTTGGCAGGCAGGTCATCCAAATTGGAGATCAGCCTGGATCACTCATGGCATGAGCATTAGTCTGAGGCTGAAACAGTTTCGGGTACAGGCTACCCCCTTCCCCTTTCTAAATGCCTCCTCTCAGCCTCCTCCTGCTTACCAGCTGTCTTGGCTGAGAGAAGAGCACTCTGGGGTGCTCCTGTTGTGCCCCTAGGCAGCATCCCAGCTTCAGCTGGCACCAGGACCTTCTCAGCTGCTGCTCTGCTCCATATCCTAACAAGCTGGCATCAGGGGGGATAGTTCTGATAAGGTGTGCTGTGATTCACAGCAGTTGTTTTATCCCCCCCAGGAGATGGGTGAGACCTAGAGCCAGGATCCTGCCCCAGCTGTCCCCAGGCCAGACTTCAACAAGGGGGAGGCCTTAGGTCACCCACAGGTGCAAGGAATTGGAAAAGCAAATAGCATACTGCTTGCGGGTGTTTTGTCTCCTTGGGCTTTGCTCCCAGCCTGGCACATGCCCAGATATTTCCTGTGCCCAGTTCAGGAAGGCGTGTTGCTGGCAGCCAGTTTTTCTGGCTGAGGAGGAGGAGGACAGAGTAAGTCCCTGCGGTTCATCCCCCAATACAGCCCAAACATCCCCCCAGCTGCTGGTTAAGGCTTTTGGAGTTGCAGACACTGCCCCTCCCCAAACAGCCCCTCACAAGCCTTTATGCACCCCAGAAATCCCATATGTTGGGCAGGATGCCCTGGCGACAGTGCCCAGGTTTGCTCTGGTGTGGATGAATGCTCCTGGCCTGCACCTCCATCTCTCCTGGGATGCAGCAACCAGGGGTTGCAGCCTTCTCTATGACTCCAGCACCCTTCATGAAAGCTAGCCCCAAGTGGGACTGCTGGTGATGCCTCCTCCTGTGACAATTCTCATGGCTGTGAGTCACCCTGACATATTTGCCCCAAGCAGGGCTGGAGGGGGAAGTGCCTTCACCTAGTTCACTTGCTGACTGGCTGGCGAGCAGTGAGGCACCAGCACAGCACCCTGGACCCCCATACGATTGAGACCAGGGACTGTGGCACCATCTGGAGCCAGAGGAAGGTGACACCGTGCTCCATTATCTTGCAGGGATGCCTGGCTGGGAGGTAGGCGACTGAAGAGCAGGCATGGAGGGGAGAGGACCCTATCATATCTATGACCCTGGTGGGGGCTCAGAGGAGAATGGATCCACGGCCTTGGAGCGGCTGGTGGAGGAGAACGCCCGGCTGAAGGAGAAGATGCAAGGGATCAAGTCTATCGGTAACATCTGCGTGCCAGGGGGGATGAGATTTGCTTTTGGGGCATCCCAGCCTGTGCCCACAAACCAGGTATTGTTGCTTGATTGAGGAAGGGTGCTGGTAGAAGCTGGGGGTCTTGACACTGGGGCAGTAGCAAAGCTCTGCCTGTCCTGGACTGTTGAGCAGGATGTCTGAGCTTTTTCACATGGTGATGCAAAGGGAGCAAGAATTTTGTTGAACTTCTGGGGTGTTTGGTGGTGGGATAAATGGCTGGAAAGAAAAGACAAGTGCTGAAACAAGGACAGCTCCTTGGAGTTCATGGGTGCTGGTGTTCTGCTTCTGATGAAAATCTCCTCCTTCTGCAAGCCCTGTTGGGCCAGGGGCTTTTCACAGATGTTTCTCAAGGAACCTAATGTTGATTGCTCCCTGCGGCAGCAGGAACATGCCAGTGTTGAAATGTTCCAGCTGAGTTGTGCCACCCTTTTTGTTCTCCTTGTCAGCCTTCCCCCACTGCCACCCCCAGTTTTGCTTTCTGTCTCGTGAGCCAGCTTCCTCCTTTGAGTCCTGCTTCTGCAGCTGAATTTCCACCTGCCTCGTGATTCCCGTTGTCACCATGCCCTTACCTGGGACAGGGACTCACTGGTGTGACAGCAGCCTCCCCTCATCAGGGGAGGATTGCATTGTTCATTCTAGACCCCAAAGTGGGGAAGTTGGACCTGTAAGTCTACAACCCAGGCTTAAATTTGTCTCTTCTGAGAAGCAGAGGAGACCTCTGAGAGACAGAGTGGTGCTTTCTGCCTCCTGTAACCAGTCCTCTGTGTGTCAGCATGAGCTCTCTGAGACCAGTGAGCCGCTGATCCAGCTTTGCCGTTGGATTTATCCCAGAATAGTTTCCAGATGAAGAAGAAATATTCTGGGCACTGCTCCAGCCAGCCAGAGGTTTTGGTGCTGGTGGATGGGGCTACTGCAGGACAGGCCCTCGGGGAAGGAGGCTGAGCACCCTTCTGTTGCTCACAACAGGAGAGCTTCTGGAGGAGTCCCAGGTCGAGGCATCCAAGCTGCGGCAGAAGGCAGAGGACCTCGTGAAGGACAACAAAATGCTGATTGGATCATCTTCCTTGGAGAACTTGGTGGAATCCGGAGGTAGGAGATGTGAGCTCATGGGGGAGGAATAACCTGATGGCTCAGAATCCTGAGCTTGGGGGAAGGGAAAGGCTGTGCAAGAGCCTTTAATGAAGGACCTTTACAGCCGTGTCATCTCTGGAGTGTATCAAGCCACTGCCATCCTCCCTTCTAAAAGGAGATTTCTGTCCCATCCCCATAGGTGGGGTAGAAGTCATCAATCAGTGCCTGACCTTGCAGGGCTCTGCTGTGTGCATCCCTGTGCCAGGTGGAGAGAGGCCCTGCTCTCCAAAAGGCTTATGGCTACATCCTTTCCCCTCTCTGCAGCTGTTGGCCCTGATCCCAGCTTTGCACGGGCGGCCCCAGGCAGTGCCCAGCCGGACGTGGAAGCACGGAAATCACCTCCAAGGGTGAGTCTGCTTGATGTGGAAGCTGGTGCTGGCATGGCTGGAGAGGGAGGCACTGTGCACCTAATTAAAGCAAAAGGAGGCAGCATTTAGCCTCTAGAAACAGGGACAAACCTAAAAGGAGGGATCAGCTCCTCTGCTGTACTCTTGGTGGTCCCTCTCTATGTGTTGTGGGCATCTTGGACTGCCATTACTTGGGGAGCTCTCACCTAGCTGTCCCCCTTGCAGGGATCCTCCTCAGAGTTTGAGATCGTTGCCATCAAAGCACAAGGGTTTCCCCAGGAGAACAGGAGAGTAGTGAGTGGCCCTGTTGCCTGCAGAATTTGGTGTTGGGGGGTGGGGAATCGAGCCAGCGTCAGGTATTTGGAGGTGTGCAGGGCTGCAGTTCTGTGCCCAGGCAGGCACCAGCAGGGCTGGCTGACCCATGTCAAGGCAGCCCTTGGGCAAACCACAGAGGAGGGAAAAACTCAGCAAGAGTCCTCCCCCAAACACAACTGGCCTGACTGGGTCTGGGCGAGGGGCCAGTGAAGCAGCCTCAGCCACATGGGGACACCAGTGTCTGCAGATGCCACATGACACTTAAAGGAAGAGCTGTGACAACACAAGTGGCTCTCGGTGATGCTCTGATGTTCAGCTGGTGCCCACACTGGGTGGAGGGAGGACCAGGCCTCCAAGCCCTGCCATTGCTGAGAGGGTCTGCCTTAGCAGACAAAACATATCTATGTGCTCCATTTGCTGCCACCTGAATGTCCTCCTGACTCTCATTGCCCCATCCTGTCCTGCTGTGGTTTTTTGTGTGCTAGAAAGGATGGGGAGAGCCCAAGGGGAATGAACATCAGCTGGCATCACATGGTACCAGTAAGAGGACATGCTCTCCTTGCACATCCCTGTTCACATTGGCCAGAGAGGCTCTTGGAGGGGTTGAGTCTTACTGGACACTACTGGAGTTCAGCTATGAGGTGATGGAGAACAGAATGGGATCTGCTTGGCCACCAGCTGCTCATGCCTGAGCCGAGTCCAAATCCTGTGCTCACACCCAGATTCTTGCAGTTTGGGTCCTCATTGCCTCCCTTGCCAGCAGGGTGGGACAGGACATGGGCAGGAGGAGCTGGCTGTGCTGTGCCCCACACACATCCTCGCACAGCAGGTTTGGGGCTGTAAACTTCAGGTCAGGATGCTGGGGACACACTGGGCTGCCCTATGGTGTAATCTGGGGCATTCCCACAGGCAGCAGGTGAGTCAAGCGTGGCAGGGAGCAGAGCAGATGTAGGTGTGCCAGCACAACCCCAGCTCCTCCCAGCAGTGCCACATGTGCCAGCTGTTGTGCCCGTGGCACTTCCTAGGCTATGGAGGAGTTAACCAACCATACCAGAGGAGCATAAACCTCTTGGGGACACTCCCTAAGGGCAGGGTGCACCCTAACACTGGTAGGTGTGCCCTGACCTGGACTTTCCTGGCTGCTGTTTAAATCCTGTGCATCATCCACTTGGCGATCACCTGCCAAAGGGCTCAGGTTCCTGGTGCCTGACGTGCCACAGCAGCAGAAAGGACAAAAGTAGGACAGGTGGAAGGAGAACATGGGAATTGAGGTAAGACCAGCAACCCTTCCAGCACGGAGCAGGCTATCTGTAGAGAGGACAGTGTCAGGAGCTGGGATTTTTAGTCCCAGTGCAGGTGAGAAGACCTCAGGGTGGAGAAGAGACCAAGGGTGGAGATGTCTCCATTGCTGTCAAAGATTTGAGAGTGCATCCTGCTCAGAGTGCCAAGGGGCACTGGGAACCCATGGGCTGCTGCCGTGTCCTCCTCCACCCGGGGACTTACTGTGCCATATCCAGCAGCTGGGAATCAGACCTTTACAAAGCTGATGCAGTTTTTCAGCGTGCTGGGTGGTGCTGCAGAGTGACTTGGTGCTGTCCCAGCTCCCCACACAGCGCTGGGTGGGACATGAAGTTGATCTGCCCCAAGAGGAACTTTGCAATACTCCTTGAACTGGTCTGACCACACATGATCCCCTCCTCATTCCCAGGACTTGGAGCAGCCACTGAATGAGGATGCTAACCTGCTGCCCCAGCTGCAGCAGCTGGAGAACACGCTGAGTGGCTGTGCCAAGGAGGCCAGCAAGGACCAGGTCTTTGTGCGCATGGGCTACATGGCCTCCGAGCTCAAGCGCTTGGCCTCCAAGGTGCACAAGAACGAGCAGAGAACGTCGTTCCTGCAGGTGAGTGAGGGCTGGCCTGGCACTTCATGAAGAATTTTCTCCTTCTGTTTTTTCCCAGCAAACCCCTCCTGCCCACCCTGAGGTGGACAGCCACCTTGTTAGCGTGGCCTGGTGGGAGGTGTGGGTGGCCCAGGACAGGCCATGGTCCTCACGCTGGCAGTGTTCACCCTGCAGACGCTGTGTGAGACGCTGCACAGTGAGAACAAGGAGCTGCGCACCAAGCTGGAGCATGACCTGGAGCAGAGGAACCAGGCTCTGGAGAAGCTCAGGTGAGGGTGGGCTATGTGGATGGGGACAGGGCTGCTCTGGAAGCTTCTTCCTGCTGACGCATCTGTTCCTGTGTTTCCACAGGTGTGAGAACCAGGAGCTGCGGAGGATGGTGACGCTGAGCAGCCAGGACAGTGGGAAGAGGGATGCTGCTGAGCAACAGCAGGTGAGGAGGGAGCATCTCGTTGGAGTGGGCTGGGAAGGAGGCAGGGAGCCCGCTGACACATCAGCAAAGATGGCCTCATTTTACTTGAGCCCCCAGTTTGTCCTAGTGTGACCAGCAGGACTTCTCAGGGTCTCAAGGGGATGGGGGAGGCAGTGGGAGGGGAAGTGGCTTGAGTTTAGCCGGCCTTGGACACAGCCTCCACAAAAGGCCTGAGGGTCCCCCCCGTGCGCGTCCAGCAGAGCGGGGCCATGGTGGAGAAGGCGCCGGGCAGAGAAGAGCTGGAGGCCAAGGAAAAGAAGGTGAAGATCCTGGAGCACCAGCGCAGGGAGGTGAGGATCAGGCTGGGAGGGAGGCACCACTAAGGAGGCGGGGAGTGGGCAGAGGGGGCACAGGGCTGGCATGGGACTGAGAGACTGGGGCAGGGCTTCAGAGCTGCAGGGAGGCACTGCTGGAGGTGGGATCTCCATCCAGCTGGTCCCCAAAGTGCTTTCATGACAGGAGTCTGATGGGGACCACCATAGCTGATGCAGGATTTGGGCTCCTGTTCAGCCATCCCTCTCTCCCTGCAGCTGCTGGAGGTGAATAAACAATGGGATCAGCATTTCCGCTCCATGAAGCAGAAGTACGAGCAGAAGGTAGGGCTGGGTGCCTGGGGAGACATTTCTGCTGGGTGCTGGCTGTGGGGACTCAGAGGAAACGATGTCGGGAGGTTTGGGGGCTGCCTGTACCTCCTTTGCCCCCGTGTGGGCTGTTCCAGGCCAACGCCCCCACTCCCTCGTGGCAGGTCACAGACCTACACCAAGAGCTGGCTGAGGCCCGCAGGGCAGTGACCGAGCTGGAGTCAGAGCGGGAGCAAAAGCAACGGGATTTTGACCGCAAGCTGCTCCTGGCCAAGTCCCGGATTGAAACAGAGGAGGCGAGTCCCTTGGGAAGGGTGAGAGGGAGCTGCCATCCCTGTTGCCCTGCCCTGGCTGATCTCCCCCCACCCTGGGTTCTGCAGGCAGAGAAGGAGAGGCTGGCCATGGAGGTGAGGGACCTGCAGCAGAGGATGCGGTTCCTGCAGGAGCAGCTGGCTCCAGTCACCAGGCAGCGGGAATACCAGGAAAAAGAGATCCAGAGGCTGAACAAGGTGGGACCCAGGGCACACCCTCTCACTGCAAAATGTCTTTAATCTTCTACAATCTCTTTACCTTTCTCAAATCCAAACCTGACTCTGATAATCCACTCTTGCCCAGGCAGAGACTTGTGTCAGGATCACTACTTGTATGACCACCACAGACTCACCACTTCCCTCTGGGCTCTGAGGAAGGGGATTGCAAGGAGGGTCTGTTGTCCTCCTTGCCCATGCCCAGTTACACCCACTTTCCACGCTGAGCACATGCCCTGGGTCCTCCAGTGACATCTTGGGCACTGAACTTGCTCTGACCCTGCTTGCTCCTCTTCCTCTCTAGGCACTAGAAGAGGCCTTGAACGTACAAGCCTCTCCACCACCCATCTTTGCCATGGAGCCGGCAGGGAAGCTGCCACAGCAGGAGCTGCTGACCCAGAATGAGCTACTCAAGCAGCAGGTAGGGCAGGACACAGAGCTACTGGGGACAGGGAAGGAAATACATGGCCTGAATGTCCACAGCAAAGAGCCCTGTGTGCCAGCAGCAGCCAGGCAGGTGTCAGTGCTGGGGTGATGGGGGTTGGGGAACCAACTCGGCATCCTCCAGCCATTCATCTTGAAGGACCACAGCCACGGGCCATCGAGCCAGCCCACATGCCTGGGACTTAGCATGGCTGGTGGAGTCAAGGATGGCAGCACAGTGATGGGGAGGTGTCTGCCCTCTGCCAGGTGCACCCGTGTTCTGTCTTCCTGCCAGGTGAAAATTTTTGAGGAAGACTTCCAGCGGGAACGGAGTGACAGGGAGAGGATGAATGAGGAGAAGGAAGAGCTGAAGCAGCAGCTGGAAAAGCTGCAGAAGCAGTTGGTCCTCTCCAACAACCAGGTGAGCAGCGCTTGGTGCTACTAGCAGCAATTTGGGAGCCCTGTGTCAACCGCATGTGTCTCGGAAATGCTCGTCCCCAGTGTCACAGTCCCTGTACATAACTAAGAGTAGGGGTTGAAGGAGGACAGGAAAGCCAGAGGTGTTTTTTCTGCTGCTTGTCACTGCCAGAGCTTCTCCTTTCATTCGTCTCCTCTTTCTGCACCTTTCCTGCTGGTCTGATGGGGACACTGGTGCAGGCATTCCCTTAGCAAACTTAACTTATAAAGATTGGAGGTGGCAGGGTGGTCTCTGCACTAACCCCTCTTCCTCCCAGCTGAGAGCCTCCAAAGAAGACTGCCAGAGGGAGAAGGAGGAGAAAGAGAAGCTGAAGAAGCTGCTGAAACAGCACAAACAGGTAGGGATGGGAGGAAACCCTCCCTGGGCAGATGGGCTGGGAGAGGTGATGACAGGTGATGGTGGTCTGCCTTTGGGATCTCCTCAGCATCTGTCCTGGCTCCTTGCAGGCTTCTGGAGAGAGGCTCCACCCCGAGCCAGGGCCAGGGCCGCAGGGCCCAGCCTGCCCCATGTACCAGTACCAGTACAGTCCGCCCATGGCTCACCCCATGTACCACGGCTATGACGAGTGGCAGCAGATCCGATACCCGCCAGCCATGCCGGGCGAGCACACACAAGGACAGAACTTCCACCATTTTCCCCCGGTGAGGCTCTACCTGTGCCAGCAGGAGTGAGGGCAGAGGGTGACATGTGGGTGGTTCTGGGAGTCGCTGCCCTCCAGGGCCACTGAGTCTCAGAGCAGGGAGCTGAACACGTGTCCTGGTGGCATGTGACTGCTCAGTCCCTTTCCTCCCACCCTTCTTCTCCTCACACTGTCAATCAATCACAGAGTGCAGCCTCATGATTCACGTGCCAGGTAATTCTCTGTCTCTGTTGCTTCTCCTCCTGCAGCCTGAGTACCCCTGGCGCCCGCCCTGTGCCATGGCTCGCAGCCAGAACGCCCAACCAGCGGCCGGGGTGAAACCGGTCCCCAAGGACTTGGGTAAGGCTCAGACCCACTCTGACAGGCTGCCTGTCCTTCACCCAGAGACTTGGGGTGTTTGGCTAAACACATGGTGGAGGGATTGCAGCACAACTTTCCAGGCAGTGGCCATTTTCCCTTAGCCCCTACCTCTCATCAGCTGAGGGGATGATTTTGCCATGGGGTTGGTCCCTGCTGTGTCCCTGCCAGCACACCCATAGCACCTAAAGTCAGGCTGAGCCCAAACAGCTCGTGGAGTTATGGCAGTTGGTGCTCAGGGATAACAGCCATGCCATGGCTGGCATCCCTCCTGTGGGGCTCATGTGAGAATGAAGAACTGTGCTTACTCTGTGCCATCCCTCTGTTGTGTCTCAGAACAGGCAGGCCCCGGATTGCCCTAACACCAAGGACTAGCCACACTCCAACACCAGTGGAAGGGGAGTAGGGTGTGTGTGTGCCCATGTGTGTGTGTCCAGGAGCTTCGTCTGGGTGCCAACGCCTGTGCAAGGACATGTGCTGCACGTGGGGGGCTCAGCAGCGCCTTCCCCCAAGGAAATCATGAAGGACGGACTAAAGTTTCCATCGTGGTGGCAGCCAGCATGGGGTCAGTCCCCTGCGGCCATCCCCTTTCCCCATGAGGAGCCAAGCCTGGCATCGCTTTAGACCCGAGCCAGGTCTTCAGGGAAGAGGAGCCAGTGTTTCCCAGGAGCTGCCCCAGTCCAGAGCCCCTGGAGGAGCGGGTAACAGTGGGGACTCTCCCAGTGGCGGGAGACCCCACACTCGCAGGCAAGTGCTGGCCGTAGCCAGGGGCCGGCCTGAGGGTGGTTGGTATTGTCATATTTATTTAAGGACTGAAGTGTGACTGAGTCTCTCTGGTTTTGTCCTGAAAGTTGCTTCCTGTGGGGCAGCCTGTGCTCGGGGAGGGGGAGAAGGAGGGATACCAGGACTGTTGATCGCCATGTGCTCAGGTATAGCCATAGAGACAGACTGAATGCAAGGGGACCCCCACCGTTGCTTGGGCACCGCAGGATGTGTTGCCCTGAGTGCATGCCTCTCACTTCCCTCTGTGTTCTGAGCTCAGCTTCTCACCCTCCTCTCTTCTGCCTCCACCTCTTCCACGGCAGGGAAGCCCCTGCTGCCCCCTCTTCCTTTCCATGTAGCAGTGGCCTTGGGGACAGTCGTTGACATTGCACACAGCAAATCTTGGTCCACAAAACAGGTCCGGAGGGAAAAAAGCCAACGCAACCCAGTTTCTGTAAGCATGGCTGTCACAGTTGTGACAGCAGGAAGCACAGGATTCCGGTTGTCCCTGGTCCTGCCTCCATCCCCTTTTGCCCATCTGTCCTCTGCACTCACTCCCCAACCTGTCCCCAAATGCTGGGCTGTGATGATAAGTCCATATTTGCAGTTACTGTGGAAAAAACAGAGTTTCTCCAGTCAGGTGATGGTATCCCCAGGCTGGTCGCTGTTACCCTAACTCTACACCCCCTTTACCCCTGGCCAACAAGTGGGGCTGCACATTTGCAAAGCCTTTATTTGGTGTTTCTGTGGTGGGTGGTGAGAGGCCGGCCACCCTTGAGCAGGAGAGCAGAACACAGAACGTGGTCTGTGTGCCAGGACCACGGGCAGCCTGAATGCACTGAAGAGCTGCTCCGTGCTCAGCACGGTCAGGCCAGGCCTGCCCCAGCCAGGGGTTTTTGGGCTGAGCCTTCATGGAGAAGTGGTCTCCTGCTCCAGGGACAGCTGGTCCCTGCATTGTCCCACTGTCTGGGATGCTGGAGTGGAGGGGGTGAGCTGGAGGCCAGAAGATGTCAACACCAGGGGAGGAGATGGGACATGGGGATATTACTGGAAGTATCCCACTGCCATCACTGAGGTCTCTGCCACAGGGTTGCCCAGCCCAGCATCCTGACTGGGTGGTGCCAGAGACGGGAGCAATGGAGGGGACAATGCATGATTCCTGCTGCTGGGGAACATCTGGGGAAGGACTGGAATGGAAGCAGCTGGGGGATGCTGGCTCTCATGCCTGCGGCCTGAGGCTCTACCGGTCCTGCTGTTCCTCATGGTTCTGCTGCCGTTGCCGCAGATAGTTCATGATGTCTCTCTTCACAACGGAGATGTTGGTGCGATGGTACCAGCGCATGATGGGCACGCCCTCAGGGCTCACCAGGAACTTCTCAAAGTTCCACTTGATGTCATGGTTCCGCAGAGGCTCCCAGAAGAGCTTGTTGGGGTTCCCAAACTCCTCCGCCACTGGTGGACAGGCGTTCTGCAATGGGGAGCCAGTATATCACTGCCTTGTCCCTCCAAAAAGAAAGCTGGCTGTGTCCACCTCATCTCTCCTTGCCATAGCACCCACCTTCAAAAAGGTGAAGATCTTCTGCTCCTTGGCCCCATTCACATCCCCTTTCTGAAACAGCTGGAAGTTGGGAACAAAGCCATTTCCTGGCCGGACGTACCTACAAGGAGGGGGAAACAAGATGATGTGCAATGGACAGCTCCAGGTGCTTGCACAGCGGTGGTGACAGGACCCCAAGCCCCTTTTGTGGCGACTACAGCCAGCAGCAGCCGCAGCCTATGCTCCCCCTGCCTGGCTGGGACCCCAGCAGAGGCAGGAGAGTGAGGTATCCCACAGCCCCCACCACAGTACTCACTTAAGTGCCGGGAGGATCTCTGAGTTCTGGCCGGGTTCCTGCTTCCCAAATTGGTTGGAGGGGAAGCCAAGGACCACGACCCCCTGGTTTCTCAGCTCATCTTGTAGTGCATTCAGTTCTGCATGCAAGGAGAGCCAGAAGTGGATTGGCAGAGGACTGGGCACAGCTCCACACCTGCACTTACCCCTTCGGGCCCTCCCAGTCAAGCCAGACCCTGGGGAGCAGGCATTAACCCTTTCCCCAGCTCCCCGAAGCAGAAAGGACCATGGGGGTGTGCCAGAAGCTGCACTCTTGGGCCCTGCCCTGACCCCGAAGTGCCCGTTCCCCGCAGGACTCTTACCAACATACTGCAGCGTCAGGCCTCAGTATGTGGCTACGTTGACAAAGAGCACTGTCTTCCCCCTGTACCTCTCAAAGGGGATGTACTCCTCCCCATCGAGGGTCAGGGCCCCGTAGCTGTAGATGGTGTCCTTCACTGAGTGGTAGCAGTCCACCTGTGGGACGAGGAGCATCCCTGGGAGCAGGCTGGGGGCTGCCAGCCACCGCACTCCCCATCCCCACGGGCAGCAGAGCAATGAGGCCAGCCCTGCTGCTGGCTGCGGGGACGGCTGCCAGCGTTGTGTCCCCTGCCATGAATGCTGCTGGCAGCAGGCACATTCCGGCAAGCCAAGGTCGCGGTGGTGGGACAGGCTTACTGGGGCGTGCGGATGCACATGGGTCTGGCTGCAGCTGGGGGAATGTTTACCGAACAGGGAGCAGCGGGAAGGTGAATGGCTGCAAAACAACCGGAGCACAGGAGGAGGCCAGCACCAGAATCTCGAGGCTATGGGCAAGTGAGCAGGACCCACCACCCCTGGAAGCCCTGGGGGACAGGGGCAATGTAGGGGGTTCCGTGTAGGATGAGGGTCGGGCTGGAGCAGCCTCTGCATCCGGGGCCACAGGAGTTAACCCAGAGGAGTCCATCTCCTGTTCCCCCCACCAGGGTACCCAGGCTCAGCCAAGTGCCACCGGGACGCTATTTTGGGAGCTGGCAAGAGGTGAAGTCACAGGGGCTGCACTCGAGGAGTGAAGGCTCCACGGGACTGTTGGGTCCCGGTGACAAGTGGGGAGCCAGGCTGGGGGGGTGATAGTGCCCCTGCCGCATGGGTTGGTGGGTTCCACAGCTTCCAAACATGGGGGAACCCTCCCGGACATTGCATGGAAAAAAGTCCCTGTGCTCTCCCACTGAGTAGGTCACTTGGGGGACACATGACTTTGTCCCCTATCCCAGGACAGCAATTCTTGGCCCGTGGCAAGAACTTAGAAAATTTCCCCATGATCCAGGCACCGGAATTTAAGGGGATGGGGGAAGGGGGGGGAGTCAAGGGGCTATGTGCCCCACTCTTGCCCCGGGGAGTCCTACAGAGAGCCTTGGGAGCAGGCGCGTCCCCAGGGTGTCACACACCCCCTAAACCCCCCTGAACGCCCCGTGGGGGGTCTTACCTTCTCTCTCTCCTCACTTCGCCCCAGCTGGACGAGCCCAGCCAAGAAAAGGGGCAAAATCCAGTTGCTCCGTGAGCAGCCCCCCATGGCTGGGCGTGGGGAGCGGAGTGCCAGCACCCCCGGACAGCCGGGGACGAGCAGCGGGGACTTGCGCCGTTGTCGCCTGCTGTCACTTCCGAGCCCAGCGGCCAAGAAATAGCTGCGGGACTGCGGGGGGGGCAGCCAATGGCTGGGGGGGGCCGGGCCGAGGCCGCGTTAACCATGTGGGCTCTGGGACGGACACACGGACGGACACCGCCCGGGGGTGGCAACACGGCCTGGCGGTGACCCGGGGCACCCAGGGGGACAAGGGGCAGCGGCATCTGCCAGAGTTTATGCAACGTGTTACTCGACCCGGGATTAAACCCGCAAAGTTTGAGGCAGCTGCTGGAGATGTCACCAAGGAAGGAGAGTGTGGCCATGGGTTAAGCAGAAGCTGGGAGCAATCTCCCAGTCTGTGCTCTTCACCAGAAGGAACATCATGTCCTGGGAAAGGCTGATGTTGTGAGGCTCCAAGTGCAGCCTCAGCTGGCGTAGGAGGGCTGGGGGTTGGGTACATCTCCCAGGCACACAGTGAAGCCAGGGAGCAGGGGAGATGTGGGTCTCTCTGTCACTGGCAGCATTTCCCAGAGCTTTAAACCTGCCCTTCTACTGGAGGAATGGCTTAACCCTGCCCTGCCTGGACCTCAAGCAGTGTGGGGTGTTTTCCCATATCCAGGCAAACGCTCTGGATGCTCACCCACTGCCCGGGGACTGCACAAAGCCCATCACAACGTGCCAAGAGCCAGGCCAGCCACAGGAGTGCTACGATTGACTCGGCTCACTCTCACAGATACAGCTGTGAATGGAGTGAGGTGGCTCCTTGCCAAAACCTGTAGGAGCCACTATCTGGGGTATGACCCTCCCCACCTCTCCTAGACTCTAGGGAGATTTGAGGCCACAGAGCTGCAGCTCCTGGCCTGCATGCTGCCTGCACATCTCTGCATCCTGCAGCCAACAACGACCAGTGTGTGCCCAGTGCTGTGCTCCCCAGCACAGCTCACACATCTGACCCTGACCGAGGCTTGAGCCACCTCCTGCCAAGGCGCTGGGACAGACCTGAGGAGCTGCTCAGGACTGTGCTCCCTGCCCCACTATTTCCCACCACAGGAACCGTCACCCACATCTAGCTATAGTGGTGTGTGGGACAGTGTGGTTGTGTCCCTTCCACGTGTCCCTGTTCACTGCCAAGAGCAGTGAAAGTCTGAGTCACTCCTGAACTCAGTTTTTCATAAAACCAAAACAAAAATAAGGGAC